TTTTTTTTGCAAGTTTTAAATATAACACAGCATAGATAGAAATGTCAGTCACCCGTAAAGTAACCCATCAAATTAAACAAATAAACAAACAAACATTAAAGCAAATTATATTAGCAATCGTAACAATAGTATACGCAAAAAATAAAATGAATTTAGCAATAAATAATGGGAATGCAATAAAAAAGAAATATGATAAATTACATGTGTATATGTATACACATATAAAAGGATCGAGATAAAGAAAAAGAGAATGAATGTAATTGACACATGCATATGTATACAAAGTAAGTTCTTTTATGTGTTTAAACTCTTAAGAAAAATAACTGCTAGTTTGAATGTTTTAAATTTAACATGAACAATAACTAGCATCGTTCGATGTTGTAGGTGATGATGTTACTGATATATCACGATGTGCATAGATTTTTGATTGTGACATAAGTGGTTTTGAATGTTTAAGTTTATGTGCAATTAACATGAATATTGAATTGACATGATCTTGATGTTCATCTGCTTTAGCTGATGTTTCAAATAATGGTATATTATGTGCATCCTAGTAAAAAAAAGATACTATATAATTAAAAATACGTATTAAATATAAACATACAGCAAATCGTTGAGCTACAGCATTAGGAACAACGATGTCATCAGGCGATACATCACATTTATTGCCCACTAAAACACGTGGTAAATTTTGATCAAGAACATGTTTATCGCATTCATTAATCCATCCTGGAAGATTTTCAAATGAAGCTAAATTAGTAACATCATATACATAGACAATTGCATGAACATTTCGATAATAATGATTAATCATTGATCGACGAAATCGTTCTATCAAATAATAAAACACTTAAAAATTTAGTTATAGATAAAGAAGTATATATATACCTTGTCCAGCTGTGTCCCAAATCTGAAGCTAAAGATAAAAAAAGTATTAATGGTAAAATATATCATTAGTTCTATACATACTTTAAATATTTCATTATCGATTTCTAATGTTTTTTCTCGAAAATCCACACCTATAAACAAATAAATAAAGTAAATCTTATCTATTATCAATAAATAATTATACCAATAGTTGCTTCCGTTTTTTCTGGAAATTTTCCTGAACAAAATCTATATGTTAAACATGTTTTACCTAAAATAAAATTATAAAGTTAAAAATATTATTTCTATATACAATTTTAATACTCATACCAACATGTGAATCTCCAATAACAATAATTTTGAATATTCTTTTCGGTCGTTCTTGATCTCCAACAGCACCTGTATCAGGTGTAGCAATAGATTCTGTCATGATTTCTAAGAGAAAAAAAAACACAATCATATTCAGTTTTAAAAAAAAAATCTAATTCTTATTGATAATCTATTTTTATATATAAAAAAAATGTGAGAGAAGAAAAAAAACAGAATAATATTCTATGAGAGTTAATTCACGTAGTAACAATGTGTTTATAAATTTAATAAATATCAATTATGTATGAAGTATGTCAATTCTAAGAAAACAAAAATCAACAAAAGCAGTGCTCTGTCTATTGTATAGAATCAAAGAAATATATAAAAAAAAAAGAGAAGAACGATGAATATCATAAATTTATAAAAAAAAATGTTTTATGAGAAAATAAGTCGATTCAATTGATGACAACTAGCTGAGACATCTTTGTTACGTTTGATTAATGACGTAGATGATGGTAAAGTATAAGAACTTGTAGTAAGCAAAGATATTGATGAAAATGATGATGGCGAGGGTGATGTGGGTGATGATGTTTGATGAATAGAATTTGGAACATGAATAAGACAAGCACCGGCTCTTTTAGTTCCTAATGGTGGACACTAAAAAAAATATATAAATTATTTATTTATATTAAATAGAGTTAGAAATCGTTTCATACTTTTGTCCATTTATCTAATTCAGGATTATATTTTTCAACTTCATCAAGTACTTTTCCATCAAAACCACCAACAATATATAATTTATCACTAACAGCAGCAATTGCTAACGCTTCTTTAGGTCGATTTAATGAAGTAATTAATGTCCATTGATCACATCTTGGATCATATCGTTCACCATCATCATGTCGAACAGCACATTTATTTGTAGCAGATGATTCATGACCACCTATTGCAAATAAAAATCCATTACAGGCAGCTACTGCTACACCTCCACGACGCTTCTGCATTGGTGCACATGGTGACCAACGATTTGTATGTGGATCATAAGATTCTGTTTCACGAAGACCAGCAGCACCATCTCGACCTCCAACTGCATAGACTCTATTTAAATCATAGAATAACAATAAAACATAAACCAATCGTATTTAATTAAATATTACCGATTTTCAAGTACAGTAACACCAAGTGTGCATCGTGCATTAGACATCGATGCAACATATGACCATACACAAGTTTCTGGATCAAAACGTTCAACTGTATTGAGAAAACTCCAACCATCATGACCACCAATAGCATATAATGGTCCACCAATACATCCAACACCTAAACCATGACGATTTGTAAGCATTGGAGGTCCAACATTCCATGTTTTCTTTTGAAAATCAAATATTTCTATACTATTCAATCTATAGAATAATAAGAAAAATTAACATATACATTTATATGTATGAAAAAATCTACGAACGTTTTAAGACCATCTCGTCCTCCGCATACATATAATTTTTTATCTAAGATAACACAAGCAAACTGCCAACGACGTGTATTCAAATGGCCATTCAGCTGCCATGAACGAGTTCGAAAATCATATCGTTCAATCGTTTGTGGACCTAATTGTAATTATATATTTAATTAATAAATTAGAAATCGAAATCAATTTCTTATTTTATTACCTTTGGCACTATCCATTCCACCAAGACAATATAGAGCACCTAATGTTGCTTTTCTTGGTTTAGTTCGTATTGATTGCATAGATGAACGTTTTTCTGGTGCTAAATGATAACGCATTGTTTCAATAATAAGCATCTGACATGAAGTATCATTCTTAAATCTTGAATCTGTATCAACATGATCTGTTAAATACTATTTAATCAAAATGAAATTTATTACTAAAGAATAATTATTACAAATATATACTTTTTTATCAAGTAAAGGTAGTTTAATTAAACCAAATAATTGTGATAAACGATCAGTTTCTCGTTTTCGATCATGATCAATCCAAGATACAAAAGCTTCGAAAACAGTTTCTTCTGATTGTACATTAATATCATCTGTTGTAAAAAAAAAGAAACAATATATAAAATCATGTTTAACAGTAGTTTTTTTTCATGTCTTTCGTACGCAAATATTTAATGAAACGAAGGAGATCAAATTTTGTTAAGGTTTTTTTTTATAACAAACTTTATCCTTGAAAAACCATCGGAAGAAAGAGACGAAAAAAATGTGTATGAAATAGAAACTTGACTTACTAGATCCTAACAGTTGTTTAATATCATCAAAAGATAATTCGAGAAATTCATGATTATTTTGAATAACATTTGTAAAATGTTCCTTTAAAAAAATATATATATAATTTTTACGAAAAAAGCAAATCTTATAGCAAAAAATTACAAGAATATAATTCCAAGCTGTTTGTTTTAATTCATTTAAATCATGTTGAAGAGCAAATTTATAGATTCCAAGACAATTGGACGAATGAAGCTGTTTTTCAATGTACTTACAACAAGCTTCAATTATTTCAGTTATATTAAACATATGTGCAGCAATAAGCACATTAGTAACATTATCTTGCTGAAGTTCTAGCCGACCTAATATATATAATTCAAATAAAATAAAAACTAATTTTATTCCATATAAAATCTACCTTCATATGCATATAATATCAGTTTTTCAAGTGCATCTGGATCAATATCATTAATAATAATTTCACGTTGTTTTGTTTCAATCATATTACTATCAAACATCGCACGAAAATAATCCGATAAAGTTGCAATAACAAGACGATGAGCATTAATTCTTTGTTTCACATGTCCATTACCACAAACAAAAACAACATCACATAAAAATCCTTGTCGAAGATAGGATGAAATTTTCGATACAGTACGTGATGCATGATCAGAGATTGTAAAATTTTGTTGTTCATCAGATCGATCAGATGATGTTGTTAATGATGAAATATAATCATCGGAATCATTCGATGAATTTGGTGGTCCCAGAGTAAATGCCATATTGTCTGATCGATTATCTGAATATTAGTCAGATACAAAATAAAAAAAATATATTCTTTATCAGTTACTCTTATACATACCGTAATATTGATAAAATCATTTTTTTTCTTTCTTTCTGTTATGTCTATATTAGCACCGTTTTTTTTTTGTTGTCTCCTATCTGACGTATGGCAACAAATCTACAAAAGAAAGTATGAAATGAAAAAAAAGAATCAGAATAGTATTTAACCTTCTTATATATGGCTATATGTATAAATCTAAGAGAATAACTATTTGATAAGTTTCTTTTTTTCGGAATCGTTTAATTTTGTTAGAAAAATAAGCATAAAATACAAGAACAAGATACACACACACACACACACAAACATACATTAAAAAAATATCTTTTTTTTTGGTGCAATTTTATATACCATCAAAAGTCACGACTAAGATATATATATATGTATATATTTCTGTTTTTCTCATTGTCCAAAACATTCGTTGATAAGAAAATGAAAAATTAACAATCATCTTTTTAATTCATATTTACTAATCGTATAATTATCATTATTAAGCAGATGAATGTCAGTAATAAGAATCACAACAATCATAAAGAAAAAAGAAAAAAAAACAAAACATTATCTTGCATGAATTAAATCATTCAATGAAAGAAATCTAGAACTTGTTCTAAACTTCGTTCACGTGAATGACATAATGTAATATTCTCTTTTCGTACTAAATCTTCAAGATATTTTCTTGAACGTTGAATATCACGTCGTTCACATGCTGATAATATATGTTCTGTATCTTCATCAATATTTGACTGAAAATAAACAATTATCTTATGTTTATGTTCACCAATAAGAAATGCAAGTTCTGTTGTCAAATGTGATAAACGTTCATTACCATTAATTAAATAATATAATACACGTGATTGTTTCCGTGTACGCATATCATCGGAAGTATCAAATTGCTCACGATCATGATATGCTTGTCTTGTTGTAAATGTAATATTCATTTTTTTTAAGAGTTGGTAGTGCAAAAGTATTTAACCAACATTCATCAGTTGTACCTGATGCTATATAGAGGTCAAACATATGATATGATGGTGACCGAAGTAAAGGCATAGGTGACGATGAATTCAAAACAATTGATTCTTTTGATGGTGAAAATTCTGATGGCGATGGTGGAGGTGAAATAGGGGGAAGAATAGTATCTTTGATAAAACGAAAAGGTAGTGTACATAGAACAAAGAGAGATTGAGTAACAGATGAATCTGATGGTTTTGAAGAACTCACAAATGGAATATAAGAATAAAAAGTTGAAATTACATTATTTATCATAGATGTTGATAATGTTTGATTGGACCTATAGGATACAAAATGAAAAAAAAACATTTATAATTATGAATCTATTAGAAATATATATAAATTTTTATACCCTAGAATATTTTCTTCATGTTGTTGATCTAGAGTAGATTCAAAAGATTCCGACGATACTGATAAAGATGATGAAGATAAAGTACGGTTGCTTGATGAAAGCGAACCATAACCATCATCATCACTTTCAGTTGTCGAACATGATAATTGTGACCTTGTACAAACTGGTGATCGAAGAGTTTGAGGAGCGTCTGTGAAATTAATTGTAGAAGAATAATGATTTCAAAATCATAAATATTCAATATTACTTGGATCTGGTGTAGAACTATGGCGTCGATGAAATGGTGGAGATGAAACTGTCATTGTAGATTGATGCATTTGTCGATAGAAATCATCAGGTGAGTCAAAAGTTGTCTTATTAGAAAGAGAACGAATAACTACAACTGATGATGGCCGACTATCTTCACAATCACTAGCTGAATTTGGTAATGGCGTAAGAACATCTAACCAAAATATGATATATATAAACTGTTCTAGATAAGAAAGACTACAACTACCTTCATCATTAGCATCTTCTTTATTATCTTCATTGAAAACACTCTGATTTGCTACTGTTCGTTTCGTTGTTTCAAGTATATATGCAGCACATTCAAGAGCTAATCGAACATTATCAAAAAAATGGAACATTAATACTTTGAAGTAATGCACGTAAGATTTTTCGAGCTTCACAAACATTTTCATAATCATCTTCATTATCTTTTTCATGACTACTATTCTTTTGTTGAATAAATTTCGTATATTTTCTCTCTGGCATTGGATTCATAACGACAATAATACTTCGTCCACGTGCAGCTAGATAACATACTTCAACAATCGATGCTAAAGCTCTAGTATCATGATCAATAACAAAAAATAATAGTGGAGCTAATTCTTTTGCACGATGTTCTATTTCAATAAGCTCTGGTGTCCAATCTGCTACTTGTGGATTATAAAAGGATACTGAACGTGATTGAAAATATGGTATCGCTTGATCACGTCGCCATGTTGTTGGATTACATGAACCACCTAAAAAGACTTCATAGTTATGTTGTTGTTGTAGTTCTCGTTGGGAATGTTTTGTTGATCGACGCCATGTTGGACATGTTATAACATCAATACCATAAACACGTTGAATAAGAAGCAATTGAAGAAATTGAAATGCACGTCTAAATTTTAGACTTTTACAATGTGATCTTTTTGTTATATCATCTATTGTAAATGTGCGATTCAAAAATGGACACTCGCAAAGTGAAGTCATGTATTTATTATAATGAATTTATTTGGACCAAATCATTTTTATTAAATGACAATCTAAAAACATAAAAAAAAATAAAGAACAAGGTAAATACAGCGAAAACCTCTCTGACATGTAATATACCTTTTATCAGTATTTACATGTGACTTTTATAACATTAAAAAAACGAAATCGAAAGAATTTCTAATGTGTCATTAAGGGTTAAAGATTATATCTTTATTTTCATCATTCGAGGGAAAAATGACACCATTTGATTTTCTTCCGACAGCCTCTTATGTGTCAATGCAAACTTATGAGTCAAAGAAGGAAGCATAACTGGTCATAAAATCGTACTTTGAATTGCTTTTTATTTTTCGCAAGACATATTTATTCTCCTAGCGACTCCTACACCTTAACAATGATTTTTTTTTCCATCATGGTTGCTAGACGAAAAAATAAAGGAGAAAAATTTTACATATTCAATTGCAACCTTGTGATTAGTCAAGTAAAATAGAAACCAGAGCATGTGACGAGGATTATATGAAAAATCAATTATTTCAGAGATTAGTCTGATAAGAAAAAAAAAATAAAGAAATATCATACCGATTACTGCGTTGAAAATTGTACTTAAATTGAAATTTCATAACCTTTTAGTTAAAAGGAATATACAGATAAGATCTTATAATAAATATGTTATTGTTTTATAAAGTAATCCAGTAATAGTTGATAAACAGGATATAGATGAACAAAAAATATATACACAAACAATGTTTGGCTATTAGTTATGTAATTTACGTCTGATAATAATTGTTGTGTCAATTTATCTATTTTACTTTCTGCTTGTTTTGTTTTTCCTCTCAATCTTCAATTGGATGGTAGTTAGCTAATAATATAAATCAGACATGACGCGTATTTGGATATCATCATAGAATAGATGCCGCTTTATACTAGGGAATATTGTAGAAAAGTGTCGTCATTAGAAACAATTGTGAGTCAAATATTGCTAGGAAATAAAATGACGCAAACAAATAGATCGATTATGTGCAACAGATTCCTAAGAATCCAGAGAGAAAAAGTACGAAAATATTTATCAAGATTATATTAAAAAGAATAGCTCGAGATTGCCCAATATTCAGTTATCGTCAACACTGAAGTAATAATTGATAATAACTTGTCATGCTACCAATCATTATAGTTGACGTCATTTAACCAATATTGTAAAAAGGGGAAAAAATCACATGACGAAATCATTTCTGACAAAATATATATTACTCATCATACTTAGAATGCAAAAATAAATAAAAGAAACTTCTTTTTCATATTAACCAACCTATATTAAATGCAATTTTTCATAAGCATTTAACCTGAGATTCGTATATTGCTACTAATTAGAGTATTGCGTACAAATGACTAATTTCATCTGCGGAGAAAAACATCTTAATTACGATTTATTCTATGAAGTACAAAACAAATCAATGTTATTGGAAATGATGTTTTTTTCCAAAACAATGATTTTCTTCGACATTAAGTGCCTCTTATCTTAATAAAATAAGTATTGCTAAATATAATATAATAATATTCTATTGGATGAATAGAAAATATTTTTATTTATTAGTATATAAAAATACAAAAAGCGTTGTTTGATCGGCTGTAAAAATTATAATATGGTGATGTTTTTGCAATAAATAACCAACATATGTCTATATTAGAATATCGTTAATAATTCTCTTATTTATATAAGATTTACAAGGCTTTGTTATAACATATACAGTTTATTCAATTCAGTATCCTCAAACGATATAATTGTTAGACGTTGTAACATTCATAATATGTCATCTGTAAATATTTTCGAACAAACACAATTATAAACGAGATTCTTGTTGAGAGAAGTTGATACTTCAGACGGAGTAATTTTATCTTATTCCATAGGGGATCTTGGCATAAATATTTCATTTATGTGTTGAGATTGATTGACTAACTCATAAATAACTAACTATTCTATCTAAGTATTGAGTTATAGTAATACTTATCGGAAAAACTTCCCTTTAGGTGTCTGCCATATCACAATTCTATATATACATTTAATACTAATCAACAGAGAAATTATTACTTATTCTCTATAGA